TCTTAGCTTGGATGTCCTTTTGAATGCAAATTTTTTCGAACTGCTTCTTCCCAATCGATAAGATATACTGTTGTGATCCAGGGGTGACAAAGTTCGGACGAAGTGGTGATAATCAATTCTTACCAAATGCTTCTGACCGAGGACTGCTACGGGGACCGCTACGCTACAAATCCCTTGGTGGAGCGAAATGGAAATCAGAATCGCAAGCACAATGAACAACACGCGGTAGATTATTGGTTAAGGCAAAAACGGGAAAGGGAAAGTTACCAGTTGCACAGATGAACCATACCACTGAATTTACAGATGTAACAGGCATTCCAACACCTCCTTTCTACTTTTCTCCTTCTCCTCTAGTCCTTTTCCTATCAGACAAAGTTGTAATCAACTTTCACACATAGTGCTTTGGGGGCTACAGTGATGATTCCTACCCCATACCACGCCACATACTCTCTGTGTTTGTAGCTTAGGGATGAAACACAGACAGCAAAATCTACATATTCCTTTTCACATACTCACAACACATGTTCATACCTACGTCATAAAATAGTTACCCATATAACTATCTTTTCTCTTCCCCAACCACTTCCCTCTTGTGTCCTTCTACCATTGGTCACTATTAGTCGCTACAGTTACGGATTAATCTTTACCTTCTGTTCTCATCAATTTCCTTCAAAAAACCCAATTCTCACCCCTCCCATTCAACATCCCACATACACATGCAATTTTTGGTCATTCTCCCATCAACAGTTTGACTTAATTACATTTAGCATGCTTTATTTTGTTTCACAAGGTTTGTTTAGTACCAGTCGGTAGCAGCTGGAGATTCCCTGCCCGAAAAAAAGAACCACAGAATTCCCATAAGACCCCCATTAGACGCCTTTACACCTCGTCAGAACTATAAAAGCATCTAAAGGGATCTTATGGGAAGCAATGCAGTTATCTCTTAGCCCGGCTACAGGCATCTTCAAAGCTATTATACGGTACCCCTGAAATTTCAGTACAAGATATTACAGGCATCCTCAAAGCCATCATAAGGTACCTGCTGATACAGTACACCTCTTTCGTACGTGTTACCGAAGACGCTAAGGCAGGCTAGAGGTAAGCAGCGCGATGAATTCTGTATTCTAGCTGGAAAAACAAAATAATTGGCCAACGCACGGGCTGCCCGTGCGAAGATGCGTTTTTTGCATGGTTCTCCGGAGTTTTTGTTGCTACCGGCACCAGTTTTTTCGGCAAATGCTTCTAGCTAAACAAACTAAGACTGGC